GTTCTCTACAGTACAGGATTGAGCTTGCCACATGTTAGAACAAATAGCTACGGGAACGTCAACTGGGTACAAGCTTCAAGAGGCTATGACTCCCCAGGGCGTAAGAGTTTGCATATCAGAAACCAAAGCCATAGCCCCCCAAAAGAACTCCACTGCTACCTTGTGTTATGTAAATTGACTCTTCTGCATATCTTTATCTGTGCAATTTACAGAGATGCCAATCTTGCACCTGGCCAGCCAGCTCAAGTTACTCACGTAATTCCCCCCATCTTCACTATCACTCATCCCTGAGTCACCCCCCTTCTTCACAAGATAATAAATGTTGGGAGAGGCCTAGAGTCAAGGCCTTTATCTTCATGTCCTCACGAGGATTGGATTTAGGACCCCTTGACTGCCCTTAACTTGGAATATGTCTTTGTGTCTTTACTCTCGCCATGGATTGCTTTGGTGATGGTAGATTGGAATTAACCTGCTGAGATTCCTATAACGTCTCAATAGGATTATAAGTGTAACTTCTTGGATTGTGAGGAAGACTAGAGAGAAGATTACAATACTTGGATGACTGAATTCATTATTTGGGTTACAATAATTAGTTCATCAAAAAAATGGTTTGTGCTTTGTTTGATAATTTTTTTCATGCCTGTCTTGTAATCTGAGCAACTACTTTGAAGATAACAACATGCAAGATATTAACCTATTATTTTGTTTTGAAATTCTATATCATCATCATTTTTTTCATTAAAAAAAATGCTTAAGGCTGTTGGCCAGAACTGAGCAGCAGCAACTCTGTTCTCTAGTCCAAGAGCCTGCCTGAGGCCACTGTTACCCAGGCTTTGTGATTTCCTTTTTAAATGTGCATAAGTTAATGACCTATGCCTGATGAATAGAACAACATTTAACATTTAAAAACTAACTAAAATTAACAGAGAGTATATAAAAACAGCACCATCCAAGTTTTTAGTACTTTTTCCATCAGAGTAAATGCAAGAGATGTTTTTCCCACATGGTTTCACTCTTGTTAAGTAGACTCATCAAGGGACTTGAAATACCAGCTAATTCATTGAGAGGCTGAGACTAAATACAAGTTGAGCCAGCAGGGGTTCCAACAAGGTGGTTACTGAACTCTGCTTGGGAAGGCTCTGCCATCACCTCTTGAGTTTGGACTAGGTGGGCCACAGATAGCCAGGCCTCTTATCTCAAAGGAGTCAATGGGTCCTGATATGGTGACAAAGGATTTTCTTCTGTAAACCAGGCATGGTGGTGGATGCCTGTAATCCCAGTACTCAGAGGCTGTGGAAGATGGATTGTTGTGAACTGGAGGGCAGCATGGGCTACAAAGTGAGTTCAAGGCCATCACCAACTGAATAGTGAAAGACCAAAAAGACCAAACAAAACAAAACAAAAAATTTTCTTCTGTAGTAAATGATGTCAGTAAATGATTCTAAGGTCTGGATATGTTGTGGTGTGTTCTAGAAAGTTACCCGTGGAACACCGAGATTTCAGAAACAAGTGATGTTTATTTTGAAATCAGTCAGCTTTGGTCATTGAAATTGCTGGCTACTGGCTGGCTGGCCTTGATTCCTTTATTTCCTTTTGTTGTATACCCCTGTATGAGGTCACAAGATCAGGAGATTTCCATGGATACCACCTGTTTGCAGCACTATATTGCTTAGGAATGTTACAAGACCTTCTTACGCATTTGGTTAATTGACACACAAAATGTGGGCACCAGGAAATTTGGTGCCTTGAGATAAACCCATTTGTTTTATGTTCCATAGTTTTTATGCCCCATTAGGGAGAAGAGGAAGCTTTTGGGGACTTAGTCAAAGTTTGCTCACTGTCTGGGGTCCAACTGCTAATTAAGCATCTAAACTATAATTTATAGGCCATAAAGTAAACAAAGTTTTCAAGACTAGGGTTTGGGGGATTTCAGGAGAAAAAAAGGCAGAGAAAAGAAATCAAATAGTGAGGGATAAAAACACCCTCACATTCCCCCCTATTTTTCCTCTCTAGGATATATAGTCCTTCATAATGTGTGGTTTACAGTTGGGCTGACGGGTAAGTGTTAGCTAATATCATCATGTATACCTGATTTACACTGCTTTGAATCCGCTCTCTTACCCAATTAATCAGGAATGGCTCAAAACTGAGGACCAATATTATGATGATTATTGGCCGTGCCATTCCTGTAAGGATACAGGCTAGTCCTGGGTTCCAGCTCCATCCTTGAGTGCCATAATACAATTTTTCTCATTCCTTTGCTTCTCATTCTAATTTGTCTAGAGTTTCTATGATCATCCCTGAGTTTCTTGCACAGAAGCAACACTCTTCTCCTAGAGCAGCAAAACTCTTCCATTCCATGAAAAGTAGTTTAAGTCCTCTTCTGTTCTGTAGAACTACTTCTGTCAGAGAGTTCACCTGGTTATGAAGCTGTTTAACTATTTGCTGCAACCCTGTCATACTCTGTTCTATGCTGTGGGTTATTTAGTGACGCTCTGGAGACCTGTTTTGGAATGAGCTATTGCTTCTGCACTCATCCCTAGTGCCCTGGCTATGCTCGCCCCAGCCATATTGCCAAGACAGCAGCCTGCCTGTGTCATGCCTGGTGGTCAACCAATAGACGTTGGTCATTGGGTCCTCCCTGGATAGTTGTTAGTCTTGGGATAAGCATCATCAGGAGACAAGGGTGCATCAGAGTAAATTTTTGTCTATGGTCTAGGTATTTGAATCATCCATTAGTACCAAAAAATCAGAACCTGAGGTGTGTGGTAGATGGAATCCTGTGACCTGGTCTGGTTGCATGCAACCTGGTTGTCAACCTGTCTCACACAAAATCTCTATCCATAAACAGTTTCTATCATGAGTAAAGGTAGTTCTTCTCTTAGGGAGCAGAGTGTTTGCCTGCGTATAACTACGGCTGAGGAAGCTATTGCTTCAAAAGAGAGTAGACTTGGCCTTATCCACATCCAACAGTGCTTTGCAATGGGGTCTGACATATTTAGAAGTTGGTGAATCTTGTTAAGCATCTGGTAAATCCTGGACTTTGCACTTGCCTTGTCTAGACCAACCTGAGTATCTATCAGGGATGAGATTTTACCTTTCTGGGAGGCCTTAGGCAAAACCTTGGTTCTCAGGCCTTCAGGACCATCAACTCATGGGAGAGTGCAGGAAAAGGGACAGCAGGTGTCCAAGACATTACTTTTGCCCTTGATAGGTAGATAAGGATTCCTGGTTCTGTCCATCACCCTATTCTGTGCAAGCACAGCTGAATGCCCCAACAGAGCCCCATTGCCCATACTGGATTATTAATATCCTTGAGGATGATTCTAATCTGCAAACAGAACTGTGTATGTACTCAGTTTTGCAACCTTCTCCTTTTCTCTATATACCTGGATAGAGCTGTCATTCTGGGTCTACCAATGGGTCAAAGGATTTGGGCTTTTTGTTCTAATTGCTGGGTCCAACTCATCATACCATCCTCTCCAGGGTCCTATGGTCTCACAGTCCCAGGTTGGACAGTACACATTACTTTCATTGTTACAATTTCCCTTTTATACCTTTGGACACATAGATAATCCATGGGCTACTACTGGGTCCATGTCACCACTTGGGTTATCCCTAATGAGGGCTTTTTCTTGTACTTTACATGCAGAGAAGCTGTCCGTAGACCCTCTGTCTCATCACCAGTGGGGGTTCCAAAAATAGTATATGGGGATAACAGATTGTTGGTCACAAGGGAGACACTGTTCTGCTATTAGAGCTTGTTTAAGTCCAATAGAGTTCACTTGTGGGCACTCAGTGGTGTAATTACAGAGATGTTCCCCAAGTTCCTCGGGGGTGACTTGGTTTATCTATGACATGATATCATCAAACATCATCAGTAAGATGAGGAGCAGGAAAGGTGAAGCCTGGGTTGTCATTCTTAGAGGCGGTCTCAAAAGGTTTAAACAGGTTAGTAATAGGAAAATCATTTTAAACAGTTGAGAGTACTTACTACAATAACTACAATTAGATATCAAAGAACAAAAACAATGTTTTTGGGAATTCCCCAATCCTCTGGGGACACAGTCGAGTGCAACAGCAAACACCAAGACTAACGGGAGGAAGGGGACCAAGAATTCAATAGAATAGCAATACATTGAGGCTACTGATATTCCAGTACATGGTTGCTGCTCAGTTTTCATGTGTTGACGCATCAGCTTCCAGGGTGAAGAGGGCAGGGCATTAGGTATGTTTCTCCTCAGTATGACCTTGAAGGGAGCTGTCTCATTGGAGTAGGCCTTCCCGTATTTGTTGGGATATGTCCCCTTGTTCTTGTGAGTGTCTTGTCTCTGAGAGTGTCATGGTAGACAGGGTTCAAGTGGCCGTGAGGTCCTGGGCGGTGATGGTGCCTACAATCATCCACTTCTTAACCTTAGAGTGACAGATTCAAGCCATGCAACCTGCAAGTTTTAAAGCAGTGTGTGTGGTTATTATGACCTCATGAGGACCTCCCATCATACTTGGAGGGACTCCTCTTTCCAAGATTTTTTTTTTTTAAATCATGTGTCCTAAGCATGAAACAGCTCTGGCCACCAACCAGGCATCAAGCCAGGATGAACAAAGGACTGCTACTCTGCCCCTGACTGATACAAGAATAACACCACTCATGAGGTGTCTCTTTGCCCATTGCCAGGGGGGGTCTTTCTAAGATTTAACTAAGACCTTGTCACCAGGTTTTCTTGTACTTTACATGCAGAGAAGAGAACCCATGGACCGGAGAATGTATAGGAAGAGAATGTCACAGCAACACAGTTTGTTGACAGTATCTGATTCAGTGCTTTCATTTGTTGATGTAAGCACTGCACAAGTGGAGGAGGCCTCCTAAACATTATCTCAGAGGGAATGAGCCCATACCAGTATGGGTACTCTGTGATCTTAGGAGTGCCATAGGAAGCATTATCACCCAATTAGCTCCTGTTGTAAGACTGGCGTCATGAAGGAGACCTCAAGGACTTAACTCTCATGCAAGAACAAAGGGGTCTTTATTATTCCGCGCGCAGGGGGTCCTCCGAACAAGCGGGAACAGAGGGCCCCGAGTGTAGGTGAGGCAGGTGCTTTTAAGGGGAAAAAAACTGCAAAGCAAGCGTTTGATACAGAAGCCAATCATAGCAGTTAGAGTGGGATAGTCAGCAGTCCGTCTATTTGTGATTGGTAACTAGCGGGTAACTAGGGGTAACTAGCGGGTCAGAGTTGATTAACTGTCTTGTTTTGCACAGCTTATCTTTAGGACACCTGGTCCCTGTATGGTTCGGGTTTGACATATTTTATAACCCTGATTAGCGTCTCTGAGTTCCCTGGCACAGTGCAGTCCGAGCATTATCACAGTTACAGATGTTTTCTTTTTGATCCTCCCTCGGGGCTGAGTTTGGACTAAGTCATGAGGCCCAGTGCTGTTTCTAGCTGAGAAACAGCATCTTGTTTTTAACCTTTAAATTTCTGGTCCTTCACTGTTTCTTGGCAGAGTTTTGCTAAGATGTTCTTTAGATTCAGTTTTGTCTCTCTACCCGGTCTGAACTCTGAGGTTGACAAGCTTTAGTGGCTTCCAGACAAGCCCTAAGGCTTTTGGAAGACCCTGGGTTACTTGACCCAAAAAAGTGGACCCATTATCTGAGCCTGCCATTATGAGGAGCCAATACTGGGGTATAATCAAATCCATCGTGGCTCCAATAACTTCCCTAGATGTTTTAGTCCTAGTGGGAAATGCCTCCATTCAACCTGATCAATACTTATAGGAACCTTTTGTTTCCACTTGTGAGTTTCAGCTCAGTAAAATCAATCTTAACATCTTCAAATGGCAAAGTCCCTTACCTCTGGATGCCCGGCTGTTGAGGCTGCACAACTGAGTTGTTATGGGCACAGGCTTCACAACGAGCAGCTACCAAGGCACACAAAATCCAAAGTCTCAGTACAAAGAAATAATAACCAAGCAAATTCGAAATGACCATCTTTCCCAGGTTGGTGCAGCTTGTGTTACATAGGTCTTGTGTTACATAATGTCCCAGCATCTCAGGGAGAAAAACCTTCCATCCTGGCAAAACCTGCCACCAATTTTCTTCAGTGCCCCCCCCCCGTCTTTGCTCATTTAAGTTCCTCTTTTGAATGGTAGAGTGGTTTAATAAGGGGGCCACTAAAACATGAGCTGAACAAGGCTCCTGGCCCAAGGCCACTTGTTCAGCAGCTGTGTCAGGCTGTCCATCATACTTGAGCCTCCACAGGTTTGTCCCTTTGACATCCTGGACAATACATCACTGCCAGCTTAGAGGGCAACTAGACAGCTTGTAACAGGTTCAAAATCTCTTGGGAGTTTTTAATGTCTTTTCCTTCCTCCATCAATATGGCAACATGCATGTATAGAGTAGCAAATGGGTAACAAGAATCAGTATAAATATTCACCTTTTTGTCTCACCCTTCCTCCAGAGACTTCCTCCTTGGCCCATTGTGCTGAGGTCCTGGGAGGCAATGCCTCTAACCAGACAGTTGATCCAAGATGACAACTGCCACTCCTGCCCTTTGGACCCCATCAATTACCATGCTGCTACCATCAGAAAATAAAGTCAAGTTGGGGTCCCTAAAGGGGGGTGTCTTGTAGATCTGGCCAAGCTGATCTGGCCATCCATCTGGATGACATCAGTGCAATCATGCTCAGGTGACTCTAAGAGAGGAAGGCAAGAGAAAGGCAAGTTGATGGCTTGAATGTCCCTAATTGTGAGTTTAGGATCCTCTAACAAAGCCCCCTGATACTTGGCTAATTTGGTTCCCAAGAGTCATTTACCACCAGGTCCTCTTAGCCAACTCTCTACTGTGTGTGGTACAAACTCAATCAAATTCTGCCCTTGTGTCAATTTGTCTGCTTCTTTCACTAATATCACTGTGGCAGCAGTGGAGCACAGTCAGGAGGGCCATCCTGCTGTCACTGGGTCCAGCCTTTTGACAAGTCTGTCACAGGTCCCAAAATTTGTGGTAGGACACCCTGAGCAATACTTTTATTCTCATGAAGGAATAACTGGAAAGGTTTTGTGATGTCAGGCAGTGCTAGGGCAGGGGTGCTTACCAGTTTTCTCAAAGGCCACCTGCTATTCAGGATTCTATTCCAATGAGGGAGTATTTCCTTCTCTTAAGGCCTCATGCAGAGGTTTGGCAATAGCTGCAAAATTAGGGATCCAAAGCTGACAGTATCCTACAGTCACTAGGAATTCCCTGAATTCCTTCTTAGTAACAGGTACCCTCAGGCCTTGGATGGCCTGACTCTGTGAAGTCAACAAGGCCCATGTTCCATTATTCAACATAAATCCCAGAAATTTAACAGTCTGCATACAAATTTGAGCCTTTTTCTTCAAAACTTGATATCCCTTTTCTTGGAGTAATCCCAGCAACTTCTTCATCCTTTCTTGGCCACATTTCAGTGGCCAAAAGCAAGTCATCTACATACTGTAATAGGGAGACTTCATGGCTTTCTTGTCTGAAAGGCATAAGGTCCCTGGACAGTGCTTCCCCAAATATTGTCAGTGAGTTCTTGAATCCCTGGGGCAGCCTTGTCCAGGTTAACTGACATTTCTGTCCTCCTTCAGGTTGCTCACGCTCAGCAGCATATATTTCTTGGGAACCTGCTGAAAAAAGAATACAAAAGAAGGCATTTCTCAAATCTAATATAGTATACCAAGTTCATCTAGGTGGGAGCAGGCTAAACTGGGTATAGGAATTTGGAACTATAGAGTAAAGAGTAGTAACTACATTGTTGACAGCCCTAAGATCTTGTACTGGTCTGCATTCTTTGGTCCTGAGTTTTTGAACCAGTAGGAAAGGTGTATTCCAAGATGTCTGAAATTCTTTTAATATTTCTGCAAGTAACTCTGTACATGGGATTTAATCTTCTTTCATGTCTCTATTGTCATAAGATACTCTCTTAAGTGCATTGTCCACCAATTCTACCACTACAGGAAGCAAATGGGCTGTCAAACCTGGGGGAGTTGTCTTCTGCCCAAACCAGTGCAAATTGCTGAGTCCAAGAAGGGAAATCAGGGCCCTCCAATGAGGGTTCCCTTTTATCTAGCTCCACGAGGCAGTATTCTTCCTGTAAGGGAAAGGTTACAACCAAAACATGAGCTTCAGCAGATGGAAGCTCTTTTTTGGTATTTAGGGTGATTTCTGAGGGGTGAAAGAAATTTGAACTTGCAGCTTGTGAAGTAAGTCTCAGCCCAGAATGGGGAAAGGGCAGTCACGCATAAGCACAGAAGAGGACTAACCACTGTTGTCTAAGCCAGACCTGCTGAGGTTCACAAAAAGAAGTAAGAAGAGGTTCGGCCAGTTGCGCCCTGCACATTTATTTTCTTGTTTAGAAGTAGGGCCACTGCCTGAGTAACTATGGATACGTCAGCTCCCATATCCACCAGGAATTGAAGAGGCTTTCCCCCAACAGTTACAGTTAACATGGGTTCCCTGGGGCCAAGAGACAAGGACCCTGATCCTGTCAGTCTGAAACTTCCCCTGCATCCACCATAAACACTTCCTTTTTCTCTTTCTTTAGCAACTTCGAGCACTCCCACTTATGGTGTTCCATCTCCTCGCAGTAGGCACATTGCTTTGGGTCTAATGCAACACATCTCTCTCCCTGTTTGGACCATTTCCCATCCCCTTTCTTACTTCCTGTCCCTGGCTGTGCTTCCTTCTTGTGAGTTGCTAATATCACCCTCATTTGTTCCTCTTGAGCTTTCCACTTTGTCTTCTCTATTGTTATAAACCTCCTGAGCCACTTCTAATAACTGAGCTATAGTCATTTCAGCAAACCCATATAATCTTTGCAGTTTACAGCGAACATCAGACATTGAGTAACAAAAGACATGTTCACCATGCAAGCATTTCCAGCCTGTAGGGGGTTATATGGTGTGCGCTTGTGATAAGCTTCCCGCAGGCACTCAAGGAAAGCAGAAGGGCTCTCATGGGTTGGTTGCCTGGTGTACCTCTGCCACCCTTTGGGGCTGGAAGGCTGCTGCATGAAGTCCTGTCAACAAAGCTGCATGGTGACCATTCAAACTTTTAATCCCATTGTCTGCGTTGAGATTCCAATTTGGTGCTTCCTGGGTCAGAACACATCTCCGTCTATCCATAACTTCCTGTGCTGTTCCTGGCCCTTCAGACTTTACACAACCTTCTGCCTTCTTCCATATTCTCTATCTCTCTTCTGAGATAGAGGTTAGAACAACTGCTGAAAATCAATCCAGTTGGAGTGGTGAGTCTTAAATTTGATTCTACCAAGTTAATCAGAGCACATGGCTGCTCAGAGAATGGGAGATTTTGAGTTTTCCAGTTACAATGGTCTCTAGAGCTGAAGGGGATGTAAATGAAAATGGTCTGAATTGCCCCTCGAGGTCCAGGAAACTTCTGTTTCCTGGAAAGGCAAAAGGGAAACTGGGAAGGAGGGTGACACTTCCTCCATAGTGGGTGGTACACTTTTATCCACTGGCATATGGCCCACGTTCCCTCTCATATGGAGTCCTGCCAAGTACAACTCAGTGTTCCTGGAATTTGGCTCTACCTGCTCTGCCACAGGTCTCCAGAGAGGTCAATGTTGGTATGTCCAATAAGGCAGAGGCAGAGACTATGTGAAAGGAATCAAAGATTCCTCTTCTGAGGATGGAGGCTATATAGGTAGCTGTGCATTAGGTGGCCTCTCATGAATTACCAGCACCCATTCAGAAAGACTCCAAATATATAGTTTAAGCCAGGGGAGAGACACTTGAACCTCTTGTACCAGGAATCAGTATATGGAAACTGATCTGGATACCCTGGGTTCCTGGCAACTATATTCCTTACCCTGTTTGCTATCTGTAGGTCAAGTGTTCCCTCCACTGTCTTTCTGATCTCAAGGACAGGACATTTCAATCCACAAAATATCTGGAGTTTTCTTTTCCTCATTTTAACCCCATAATCTCCAACACATTTGAATTTATCAAAATTGCTGAGCATGCATCCCAGTAGAGCTGGCTTACTGCCAGTGGATTACTGTGACCACCATTAACAAACCTGTGAGTCCTGCAGCCTCAAAATTGGGGATAATTCTATAGCCAAAACAGATTTTACCTGCTGGGGCTACCCCAGATCTCCCTGACCAAATTAGCCAACACGTAAGTTATATTACACAGGGAAGGAGAATACCTGGTAGGGCAAATTCAGTTATACCAGTAATTATAAGACAAAACAACCCCAGCTGATTTCCTAATTCAAAACAGTATCCAATCAAGGAAGAGATACAAAAAGGCCTCCAGCTTCTCATAAGCAAATTTCTCAAATACAGCATTTTGAAACCTTCTCAGTCCCCTTTTAATACTCCCACTCTCCCTGCAATAAGCCCTCAGGAGAATGTAGGATAGCACAACACCTTTGCCCATTCTCTAGTGGCATCCATATATAATTATTTCCTCAATTGCATGTAATACCAGTTGGTCCTCAGTTTTAGATTTAAAAGATGCATTTTTCTCCATTCCCTTTCATCCTGACTCTCAGTTTCTATTTGCCTTTGATGGGAAAATCCCATTATAAGACAAAAACAATAATACACTTGGACAGTTTTCCCACAGGGGTTTAGAGATAGCTCTTACCTTTTCTCTTGGACACTAGAAAAAGTCTTGAGGAATCTAAAACTAGAACAAAAACTAGAACAAAAACTATGTAAATGACATTCTAGTTTGCAACCCAATTCTGGAACTATCTAAATATAACACTGTAGAAAGTCTTAACTTTTTAGCTAAAAAGGGATATAAAGTCTCCAAAGAATTAAGACTCAGATATTCCTCCAAAAATGTCAATGTCTGCAATATTTTCTTATACCTGGGACTGGATCCAGGCTATCTGTCATCTTGGGCTTCCTGACACCAAATGACAGCTTCTTTCCTTCCTGGGAATGGCAGGCTTTTATAGAATCTAGCTTTTGTAGAAATGGCAAAACCATTATGAGGCAATAAAAGGCCCCAAGTCTGTGCTCCTAGAATGGACAAAAGTGACAAATCATGCCTATAGAAAAATGAAGCATACCTTTACTCAGGGACCAGCACTGGGAATACCTGATTTAAAAAACAGAACCAACAAAAAAATCTCCTTTATGTATCAGAAAAGGGAAGAATTGCTTTGGGGGATCTTAACTAAAGCTAAGAAGAACCCCACTCAGTGGCACTGTTTTCAAAGAAATTAGATGGAGTAGCTGCTAGATGGACACTATACCTGAGGGCGATAGCAGCAACAACTATACTAACAGAAGAAACTACAAAACTAACTATGGGACACAGACCAAAAGCTCTAACTCCCCATTAGTTCAGGTCTATTCTAGAGACAAAAAGTAACTTGTGATTAACAGGAGAACAGCTTACCAAGTGGCAGGCTATGCTCTCAGACATCACTGAGTTATTATAAGAACTTTCACTACTATTAACTGTGCTTCTTTTATGGCTACAAGCCCCAAAGTTAGCCACTCTTGTGAACAAGTGATCTTCCAGAACTGTGAAAACAGGCAGGACATCAATGACCTGCCCCTTCAAGATCCTCAGGAAGTATGATCACTGATGGAAGTAGCTTTGTCTGAGGACACTGAAAGGCAGGTTATGCAGCTATTAGCTCACAGCAGGTTGCTGAAGTTAAATCTCTTCTCCCCAGGAACCTCTGCTCAAAAGGCAGAGCTGGTGACTTAACTGGGCATTGATATTAGGAAAAGACAGAAGTTTAAGCATCTATAGACTCCACATATGACTATCTGGTGCTACATATTCATGCAGCAACCTGGAAGTAAAGAGGCTTACTGACAGACAACAATCACGTATAAGATACAGACAGGAAATTCTGTAACTCCTAGAGGCAGCTCATCTTCCTGGAGAGCTCATAGCCATACACTGTAAAGGACATCAGGAAGATACATTGGAAGTCTACTTGGGAAATCAAAAGACTGACAGGGAGGCAAAGTGGGCAACTCTACAGACCCTTAAGACTCTAGCCTTATTCTCAGTTTCTGAGGAACCACTAAAACCTATGTAAACTCCACCCCACGAGCATAAATGGACCTTGGGATAATGAGGCATTGTTAAGGGACTCGTGGTATTTAGGAAACAAACTGGTCTTAAACCAAGTGTCTTGGTTACTTTTTACTCATTGCTGAGACGAAATACCTGAAGCCCAAGCTGGGAAAGGAATGGTTTATTTCTTACAGTTTTTGGAGGTTTCAGTCCACACTCAGTTGGCTCCAAGGCAGGCGGGCATGGCTGGGCCACAGTTCATGGCGGCTGCAAACAGCAAGCTGGAATCAGCAAAAAGCAAGACCACACCTTCTTCCTGCCGTTAGGTCACATCTTGGCTCCACCCCTTTGTGAGAGGAGCACTGACACCATCAATCCAAGCACTAGACAATGAACCATCAGAAATGCACAATGGAAACTCATGAGGCCTGGGGGCCACAGACATAAACCATGACACCAAGGAATACAATGGGAGGCTCAAAAACACTTCATGATTCCTTCCACATGGGAAGAGATGCTGCGTTGGAAATGGTCGTTAGAGTTTTCACGGGACTAGGACTAGCGACAATCACCTAACAGTCTGTAAAGCTTGCCCACTTTGTGTCTACCACCTGGGAAAGCCCAAACCACCCCTTTACTGGAACCTGTGCAGAGGAGAGTGATATAACCTGGAGAGGACCGGAAAGTAGACTTTTTCCATATGCCGCTACATAGAAGATTTAAACAAGTGCTGGAGCTAATTGACACCTTCACAGGCTGGATTACAGCCTTTCCTACACTTTAAGAAAAGGGTACTGAAGTAGTCAAGGTGCTAAAGAAATTATACCCTGATTTGGAATACTGTCTCCAGAGTGACACCGTCCTTTTTTTAACCTCTCAAATAACTCAGGGAATGGCACAGGATTAAAGATCATCTTCATTCCACTTGGCAGCTTCAATCTTCTAAAAAGATGGCGCTAACCAGATCCTAAAGACAACTCTGGCAAAACTTTGCCAAGAGACATCTGAGTCCTGGTTCCGTTTGTGACCAATAGTACTCAGAGTTCGTAACATGTCCAAAACTGGGCTAAGTTTGAGCTCACTTGAAATGTTACATGGAAAGCTTTTTCTATCCTCTGAAATGATAGCAAAGCCAGAGATGATGGGCTCTTTCAATTTCTCATCAATTTAAGCCAAGTACAACAGGAATCCAAATATGGGAACAGTGTCCTGGAAGCTCCTGGTTCTTGGGGACAGACTAGCATTGTCCCTGCAGACAAAGTACTTGTAAAAACCCAGAGAACACCATCAGACCAGTTAAAGCCAAAATGGAAAGGCTCCTTTTCAACATTCACTGCAGCAAAGGCTACAGAGATAGATTATTGGATTTATCTTTCTAGATTAAAGCTAATCCCACTAGAACAGTCTAAAGAACAAGATTATCCAAAAAGAAAAAGCTAGTCCTCTGAACCTTCAGAGGACTTGAGATTTCTCCTCAAAAAGCAAAGCTCCAGTGCTGCTATGGATAAGTAAACAAGACCTTGCTGAGGCCATGGCTCTTAGAGTCTCTAACATGCATTCTTCTCTACAGAAAGCGTGGAAGTCTGATCTGCTCCTCACATCTGGGCTCAGAGTAAAGTTTCTTTCTCCTGTGAGATGGGCAGCTTGAGCATCACTAACTCTCCTCATTGTCTTGTGATAGAATTGTTTTTCTTCAACCCAGTGAGCCACAGTACCCCAAGGTAGCTGGAAAGCACAGAATCGCCTGTAGGTAGGAATACAAGCTTTTCCATCATAAACAAGCTACAGCAGACAGAGACCGTTATTCCTCCAGCACCCCATAAAGATGGGATTTATGTCTGTCAGGGAAACGAGACAGGAGACAGGGCATGGCACAGGTGGCTGTGGAAACCAGTGGGACCTGTCAATTTCAAGATCCCAGGACAATGCCAAGTAATTCTCAGGACTCCATATGTGCAACTTCTCCCAAGCTCCCACAAGATGCGGATGGCAAAAAAAAGGGGAGATGCCACGGGGAGCCACGCCTGTGACCTCATGATAGTTCGTGCTGCATTTCCATACAATTTCCTTTATTTTTGCATTTATTTTCTTTTTCTCTTGTTCTGCCCAAATTTGCTCTGCCGAACTGCTTTCTCTCGCACTTTTCAAATAAATTCTCGGCACTGTTTTTGGCCTGTCTCATCCATTTCTTTTTTTGAGGAAGAAGGACTCGGAATGCATTTGACTGGAGAGCTATTTAGGAACCACTGGATAACAGGAGGCCATCGGCCTTAAAGGACAACTACAAAAAAGACTTCGCTGCCTGCTAAAGGAAAACTTGATACAGCGAAAAGGGAGTGGTCAAGGCTGAAAAAAGTAAGAAAAATAAGGAAGAGGAAGAAGATGAGGAAAAAGAAAAAAGAGGAGGAGGAGGAAGATAGGGAGATGAGAAGGATGAGGATGAGTAAGTTGGTCCTGCACAGTTGTTTGTCTTGTCTATAAAGCACTTAACCCCTCTGTATGCAACTCATTCTTTTAAAGGAAAGAATTGAAATGTAAGGCTGTGTAAGATTTGTTTTAAAGCTGTATGGTGACTCTTTTCCTTTTTGTATAGTTAACACACTACCAGAAGTGTTTCTAGAGAGGTCCATCCTGGTGGTATTTTCAGTAGCCACTAACCTTGCCTGGTATGGTATAGGGGTTGTAAACTGGCATGGAAATTTAAAGCAGGTTCTTTAATTTAGTGCACAGCACACACTTGTTATATATAGGGAGAGTAGGTTTATTTTTTAAACTTTAGTTTTGGCTGATGTAGTTTATGAGAAATCATTGTTCTGTCAAATGAATAACACCCTAATTGCAAAAAAGTTTCAGTTGTTTTGTTGACATTCTGAATGCTTCTCAGTAAATACAACTTATGATTTAAAAAAAGAATGCAGTAATTGGATAATACAAATACATAGTCTTCTCAGAAGATACATTTCCCCATAGCTATAATCCCAGTGCTCTCTGAGGCTGATGCAGAAGATCACAAATTCAAGTCTAGCCTGGGTACTTTAGTAACTTAGCAGGACCTTGACTCAAAATAAAAAATTAAGAAGGGGTGGGGATATACTAAGTGTGAAGGCCCTGGCTTCAATCTCAAGTACAGAAAAAGAAAATCTTATAAAATGATAACCCAGTGTTCTGGGTTAAACATCATATTTGTTGAGAACTTGATAGCAGCAGTTTACCCACAGCAATAATGCTGCTCCCTGCTGCATCATGGACAAACCAGGTCCTGAGCTTTCAGACTGAAATGCTATCCTGGATGGTAGAGACTTTACCAATTTATTGCTGCCTGGGGGCAAGCAGACCTGTTCATTTTACACCTCTGTATAAACTTTTTGGCCACGAATCCTTGAAAAATAAGGACAGCTAGTGCTCACGGGGTTATTTAAGCAGAAGTCATGGGAACCTATCTATGCTTACTTAGTACCCAACTGTAGTAGTGTAGTTCAGTTATTATGTGTAGGTAGGTACAGCAACCCAGTGGTAGAGTCAGATAAAAGAATAAATTTAAGCAGCTAGTTAAGCATTTTAACTATGCTTAGAGATGCAATAGTAAACACACAAAGAAGATAAAAGTTTAAGATAAGAATAGAGAGAAAAATACCTTTCCTCCTAGGAAAGCAACTTATTAGAGCATGCTAAATTAACAACTCCTTCCTAACCTCTGGACCTGGACTTCAACCTGACTCAAGAAAACATTAGAAATGCAAGATAACTATTTTCTTTTTCAACTCTTTTGAACCCATTTGTATTGAAAGGATCCCTCTCACTCTGCCTATGTAATGCCAGGAAAAAAAAAGCACGTTGGACTTCTTTCCCTTCTTGGTGGGTATCCACCAAGAGCTTTTTTCTTGTTATTAGCACCCTCCTAAATTCCTCCTTTTATCTTCAAGTTTATTCTTCAACTTTGGGAGACAAAGAACTCGTTTATATAAGTTAATTATTTTACTGTGACATCTATGACAAGTCATTAGCAAAGCCAAATTGGCCATTTGCAAACTCTGCCACTTTTAATACAGAACTGGTTTAAATTGTACTGAGTTCAGGACTTTCTGGTGTCTAAAGGGACTTTCATATATGATTCACTTAATTCCATCTCTTTCTGCTCTGCTCATCAAAATACCTTGTTTCTGGGGCTGGGAAAGCGGTGATGTAGCTTAGCATATACAGTGCCCTAGTTTTAATCCTGAGCACCAAATGGGGAAAACATTATCAGCTCTGATTTTTCCTGCACTCTTACTGGGCAGGACCAAGTGAATTTTGGATAATGGAGGTGGAGGAGAGATATAGATTCTGTTTTCTTTTCTTTCTTTTTTTTTTTGGTACCCGGGAACTCAAGTCACTTGCCAGGTGGGCGCTTATGCCGTGAGCTAAATCCCCAGCCCTTAGATCCTCTTTTTAAAGTGGGTGGTTGCCAGAGCCTTCTTCCTGAATTGGTCTAGAAAGATATTTTCTAGCTAGCTAGCTAACATTCTTCCAGAGCTTTAGATATTCCTCCAAAACTTTAAGTGGAATTGCAAATGACTTTTCATTCTGTTGAATCAAATGGAGGCAAGGAGAGGAATATGCGTACAAAGAATCTTTGTCTTTTTGTGTCACTGGGAATTGAAACCAGGGGCAATCTACTACTATACACTCACCCTTTTTTAATTTTGAGACAAGATCTCACCAAGTAGATGAGGTGACCTTGAATTTACAATCCTGCTGCCTCAGCTCCTCCAGTAGCTGTGATTACAGACATGCACCACTGAACATTGCCTAAGAATCTTGTTGAGTAATAAAAAATGATCAGAAATAAGGTAAAATGTTCAAGCATTAAAATTAGGAACACTAGCTAGGCATGGTGGTGGGTGCTTGCACTCCTAGCACTCTGGGAGTCTGAACAGCAGGACTGCAAATTCAAGCTGAGCTTGGGCAACTCTGTGAAACCCTGCCTCAGTATCAAAATATTTTAAAAAGGAGCTGGGGGTGTAGCTCTGTGACAAGGTCTTGGGTTCAATTTATCAAACCAGAGAAAAAATAATAATTAGGAAAATTAATACATTAGTCCGGGGTAGATGGACCATAACTGCGTATTGATAGAAATTGTCAACGCTAGACAAGATATCTATCCTTATTACTTCCTAGACATGTTCAAAGGTTTCATTCCTGTATCTGTAAGCCTGGTATAATACAGGGAAATGTGGGACAATGCACAGATGAGTCAGAGATGGTCCCCTTATCCAGGGAAATACAACATCTACAAATGGAACATTTACAAATGGAAGCCTCATTTACCGCAGTTTTGGCAGGCACCTGATGTGTATCTAATGTTTGCTGCAATCCCATGCTATGTAAGTTGGGCCAGATAAAGGTCAAGGCTGAAAGCAACATGGAAGGAAGGGTTGTACAAATGAAGAGAATATAAGGGCACAGAGAGTGGGAAAAAAGCATAGGCTTTGTATAGAAACAAGGGGACTTTGGCTTTAGGGTGGAGACCCACAAAGCAAGTAGTGAGGAATATTTTCAAAAAGCAGGTTGGAGCTAGGTGCAGTGATTCCTGCCTGTAGCACCAGCTAGTCAGGAAGCTAACACTGCAAGTTTGAGGCCACGTCCGCAATTTTGCTTGATCCTATCTCATAACAAAAAAAAAAAAAAAATAAATAAATAAAAAGGGCTGGAGTAGCTCAGTGGTGGAGAGCTTAATCAGCATACACAAGGACCCGTGTTCAATCCTTAAAACGAGGGCTGGGGGAGATAGTTGGGAATCACAGAGGCACCTATTAATGTATTTAAAACTCATGTCCAAATAATGCGGAAGGAGATACTAGTATTTCCTTTATGTAGTGAAGGCCATGATGTTGTGGGCCAGGGTACAGTGTGGGGTTGAGTGGAAAAGATATTGCAGAAGGAGGAAGTTGATCAAAACTACCTTTGTTCTTCAAAAGTCAGAATATACCCAGGCAGGTTGTTTAGAAGGATGTGCAATAACTTAATATTTTTCATTTATTCAGAAACTTAATTTGTAATTTACCAAAAACAGTGAAAACAAACGATTCTTTCCTCCTCCCACTAAAAAAATGCCTTTCTTGATTACTCCAGGGACTAGCAATGTTATCGTCACCTGAGACAGAAAAGCCAGATTTTCAGACCTCTGATTCAGAGTGCACACTGAATACTAAGCGGGTGACTCTACGCGTATTAGTTACACTTTGAGAAGTTCTGCTGTGCCCCATTGTACTATAGAGACAGCACTTTGCTGAAAAGAATTTCTAGTACCCGCCAGGGTTCGGTGTCTCACCAGAGGGCAGCAGTCCTCCCGTTTCCTCCCGGCCCCACTCCATGTTCTCCGCAGGACTCGCTCAGGTTCAGACTTCTGCGGACGACCCCAAGGGGGCTGACGCGCGCAGGGGCGTTCCGGGGCGGGGCTCCGCCTGTCCAATAGGCTCTCCCGGCCGGGGGCGGGGCTCCGCCTGTCCAACAGGCTCTCCCAGCCGGGGGCGGGGCTCCGCCTGTCCAATGGGCTCTCCCGACTGGGGGGCGGGCCGGCCCGTCCAATGAACTCTCCTGGTCCGGCTCAGGGGATTCTTCTATTTCAGCTGCTGCTGGCTGGGGTGCTCCTCCCACCCCCGGGCAGGGCTCGTTATGTGGCGTGTGGTGCGCGCGCTCTGTGTGCGCGCTGCAAATCCCAGCAAGTTCTCGGGACCTTGCAACAGGCCTGCCGCCTTCATGTCCACTCTGCTGATCCAAAAGCCTCAGTATGCCTGGCTGAAAGAGCTGGGACTCCGCGAGGAAAATGAGGGCGTATACAATGGAAGCTGGGGCGGTCGGGGAGAGGTACGAGTGCGTGCGGGAAATCGCGGCAGCTGAGGAGTTTTAGTCCGGGAGACTCGAGGGCCCGCCCCGCCCTTCCCTGCTGGACTCCCCGCTATCGCAGTAGGCGATTGCATGGGATGGGAAGTTTTAAAGTTTGTCGTACCGTGAACAACAACTACAAAACTTTTCAGGTTAGGCCCTTGTGTGCTAAGAATAATTGATTTCATATTGGAGTTTACTTAAAAAAAAAAAAAAAAAAAAAAAAAAAACCTTATGGCACAGTCTCCTTTGGGGTCCGCAGTGAAAAACGCCGCACATTTCGCCATGCAATTAATCTTAATAAGACTATAGTCCTTAAAATGTGCCATGCCCCACAGGTAATATTTTACAGGATACGTTTGTGTTGCCCATTTTCAGAAACCCTTTGGAATTTGGAAGCTTGTGCTTGCCAAAATTCTGTCTGTGCACTTAGTGAGGACGGGATTTTCAGATTTCTCTGTTGCTCAGAGCTAAACATAGGCCTGGCACCAAGTTACTGTTTAATAAAAATGTTTTTATAAATGCGATTGAAAGATAAAAGTTATTACGCCCATATTTTTAAAGAGCATGGCATACAGGAGGAAGGTTTTTGTAAGAAAATGTAATACTGAACGCAGTTAGGAGTGTTATATACTTAACTGAATTGTTAGAGGGAACATCTGTGGTTGTCTGGGGCTGTAGGAAATGCAGGTGATTTTAACTGTCCCAAACTGTATAATTGATAGTTTATCTAGTTTTTATTGGTGTATCTGCACATGAGATTCTTTGACAAAATACCTTCTCCTAAAGCCGTTTTTAGCTTCACTTTGCCTTTGCCTTTCTAACTGAACCTGAGATTTCTCCAGGTTCTATGTCGCGTAGGCATAGGCCTTTTCCATACTTGTCTGGGCTTGGCTGCTTCATTTTCTGACCAGAGAGTGAGCTGAGCAAGGAAAGCTCTTAACAATGGTTCGTTAAGGGAGAAAGACCTGAATTAACTGATTACACTAAAACCTTTGTGAATATATCTAATGTTAAGATGGCAACAATCTAACAAAAAGTGGTTTTTACTAAGGAGAGAATTGAAAATTGAATTTTCTTATACCTATTTGATCTAGTCTTTTAATTTGGAAGAGATTATGATTGCTGTAAATGATGGTCATCTTTTTGTTTTAAGGTTATTACCACCTATTGTCCTTTTAACAATGAGCCAATAGCGAGAGTCAGGCAGGTAAGTTTAAAATTCAAAATGCCTTCAGGGAATTTACAGCCTTTCTTTAGGGGCAGAAGCCTGCTTAGGTAGGCCAAGAGCAATACCAAAGTACAAATGTAAAGAATAGTGTCTGTTTTTCCTTTGACATTTAAGCATGCCTAAAAAAGGTTGACTACTCTTTGAGGAGGGGTGATTGCACCTTAAAAAGGTGAACCACAGAGAGGACTGGGAGGGGGTCCATCTAAGGCTGTCATCTGAGTTTTGGGTAGTCGGGTTTCTGACTCCTAAGTCTGGGTTGTAGCCCTAAATCTGTGTTACCAACACATAGCAAGCGCAGGTGTTCCCAGGGGAGGCAGTTTTTAAAGCACAGCTGGATTCCTTCCTCTCTTACTGGGTGGATCACAGCCAGTTTTTAGAAGACCATGGACATCATTCTCAACTATAAATCTTAGGAGATTTTTTTTTCCAAAAAAATGTCAGTGTATTCTTGAAGAAGGTCATCGCTTACTTTCCTCCTCTGAATGTGATTTAGGCCAGTGTGGCAGACTATGAAGAAACTGTCAAGAAAGCGAAAGAAGCTTGGAAAATTTGGGCAGATGTAAGTATGGCCTTTGTGGCCCGAAGCACAAAAGTCACCTGTTGCAGTTGTGATGAGATAAATAAAACATTTGATAAGCAGGCCAGTGTCTCCTGCAGAAATATTAGCTTCTTGGGGCCCAGATGTGTCTCCTTTGGATCACTAAGCAAATGTCTTTTTCATAGCTGACATTTAGTCAGTGAGTACTTTTAAACAGATTTCAACTGTGCCAATGTAGTATGTAGACCCACGCTATGAAGAGTCCGTGCCGAGGTTATAAGTGAGCAAGTAGGGGATGGTAGGAACTGTGTTAACACACTTGCTTTTCCCTTCTTCCTTCTGTCACACCAGGAGATGGTATCTTTGTAACAATCACGTTAACTTGCCAGCCACAAGAAGGACCACTTGCAGTATCTCTTCGCTAGGGCAGGGTCACTTTCTTTGGTCTGAGTTTCCTCTAGGGTTTAAAAGAGCACATTCGAGAATTGTGACTGGTACTGTGCTGAGCCACGTGGACCTGTTCCTAGCTAGGGGCTGCTTCCTGCATGAGGGAGAGTCAAGGCCGGCAGGGATAGCCTGGATTTTGGTTCTCCTCTTCCACCCTCATAGTGCAGTGTCATACAAAAGGAGGCCAGCCCATCTCTGCTGGTCGTGAGGGGTAAGGAAATTAATCATTTAAAGTGCTCGCAGGAGAGCTCAGCACATGACAAGCCTCGGGTCACTTTTAAACCCACATGCAGGAGCAGGGTTTGGACTGTGGACCTGTGTTTTCTCTGAGTCACTACTTGAGGGGGCCGGGGGATGTGGCTGAGCAGAATGGTAACAGGCTTTCCCTGAGTGGGACGCAGTGCTGTTAGTCCAAATCCTCCTCTTGCAAAGCACAGAGAGCATCTTCCTTTAATATGTGAAGCTTAGGGTTCCATTATACGAAAAAAAAAAATTCTTCACCAAAAAACTACAAGTTAAGAGTGTGCTAAGAATAGTTCACTCCACCTGGGTAGAGAACAGTGTCTAAAGCAGTATCATTTATTGTTTCAAAGTTACCTTTGTTCCTAGTCATAAAAGTTAAGTATATATTTTGTTAAGTAAATGCAATAATGATTTATACATACTTATATGTAAGTTGTGTGGAAAATTTTGTGACTTATGATTACCCGACTATCAGCTTTATATAAAAGTTACTGTACAGTTTTTAAGTTATTTATTGGTTTTCTATACATTTAATTTTAAAATCCTTCTTTTTTTTTTTTTTTTCAGTATTGGGGATTGAATCCAGAGGTACTTTGTCACTGAACTATATCCCCAGCCCTTTGTATGTTTTATTTTTGAGACAGGGACTCATTAAGTGACTCGGGATGGCTTTGAGCTTGTGAGACTCCTGCCTCAGCCTCCCAGATAGCTGGTATTACAGTTGTGTGCTGTTGTGCATGGCTAATTACTACTTTATTTTTTAGAGCAGTTTTATGTTCCCAGAAAAATGAATAGTAAATATAGATCCATTGCCCCTCTGTCCAAATTGCCCCCATTGCTGACATTTTGCATTGGTGTGGCCCATTTGTTAAATTTCATGGATCAATACTGCTACATTATTAATGAAATTATAATTTACGCTAGGGTTCACTTTTTGAAACACATTGTTTTGAATAGTATTGCAACTTCCCATGTCTTGCGACCAGAAATATTTATTGTATGTGTTTATTTGCCTAGAGTAAATACAAACATGTTTGAAAGCAGTTTGTGTGAATTAAGCTTCTATCATGAACTAGCTTTGAAATCTTTTGGTCTTGCCCAGGTGATGGTCCCTGCTGTGGCTATCTTTCTGGATACTA